CCCTAGCACTTAAATATTATTAAATATACAATTTAAAAAAAAGTGTCCCTAGTACTTGTTAAATAAATGGTGGCTCACAGATTAGGTAGAATATGCTACAACTATTAAAGAATTGAAAGCGGCATATTGCTGCTCAAAACTTTGTGGGTTAAAATAATGATTAACATCTCACAGTTCTGAGGGTCGACTGGGCAGTTCTTTACATGGTGTTGGTCAGGGAACCTGGACAGCTCTAGTCATTCAGAGCTGGGCTGGCAAATTTTTTTGTATGAAGAAAGATAGTAAGTAATTTACTTTGTAGGCCACATAAGTCACTGTCAGATTTTCTTTGTTCTGGTTGTTTTATGACTGAAAATATGAAATACCCTTCACTCACGAGTTGTCCATAGGCTGGCCATGGCTGTGATTTGCTGACCCCTGAGAGAGAGGCTCCACTAAGAACTCAGCTGGGAGCCTCTTTTCTCCATGTGGGCTCTCCACATAGCTGCTTGGGCAGCCTCATGACACAGCACCTGGATTCAAAGAGGAAACCTTGCAAGAGGATAAGCCCTAGTGCTTATTAGCAAACCTCCATTTGTATCGTGCTTGCTCATGTCCCATAGGTCTACATGTCACATGGCCAAGCCCAGAATCAGTGAGAGGGGACTACACAAGGGCACAGATGCCGGGAGGGATGGTTCATTGGGGGAGCCACGAAAGTGTCATATCACATGAGCTGACATGAAGATAGTTCTAAGACCATATATATTATATGGAATAAAGCAATGAAGAATATGTATTGTAGAATAATCCTATTTGTTTAAGAATGGTAAACACATCACATATATTGCATATGACTATAGACATTGCTATACTTACATATGTCAATTTGTAGAAGGATACACAGTTAATAATGGTAACATTTGGGATTAGCACAGGTAAATTGTGGTGAGAGAGGGGAAAACCTTATTCCTCCTTCAGATACCCTTCTCTACTGCCTGGGTCTTTCTCATCATGATGATGTAGTACTTCTATAACTTCAAAAGAAAAAAGATATATTTTTAAAATTTGGGTTAAGAGATAAAGTTTTAAAAGTAATAACAAAATTGACTAGGTAGAAACATACCCTCATAATTTGGAGTCATTCTTTATAGATCAGAATTAATGTAAGTATATTACTTCATTTAAGAGAGATTTCCCAAACTTTGTATTTGCATGAGGTTTTGGTAGTGAGTGAATGAGGGCTACACAGTAGCAATGGCATGGATTACTTTGGAATCAGGGAGACTTTGGTTTGAAAGCTAGTCCACCACTGGCTAGTTCTTTTTATTATGGACAAGTTAACTTCTATGAGAGTGTATATATATATATATATAGTATTGTGAAGATTAAATAATTCAATATTTTTGTGACAGTGTTTAGTCTAATACCGGACATATGTAGGTGTTTAAAAAGATGTGTGTGGTTTCATTTGTTTGGGGTCTAAAAATGAAGATTGGTATGTCTAAACAGTTAAAGATTTAAAGGGCAAATATGTGTGGTCTTTGTCTAAGTAATTTATTTAAAAAATACTTTTCTTTGTATTTTCCTTTCTACTTTGGTATTTATTCTTTAACCTAAGCACCAAGTAAATAAAAATAGAAATCAATGAAGGTTAACTGAATATGAAACACCAGGATGCCTCTGATGAAAAGAAACTTCAGTTTTAAAAGTAAATTTATATGTACTTGGACTTGTTAGATTAACACCTGCTTATAAAATATATAAAAGTGATGTTTTAGTGACTGTAATGTTAAATAATTTCTGGTTGACTGTGTTATGTAATTGTGGCTAATCCTTTCTCTGTTTCAGAGGCGAATCTCTAGATAACCTGGAGTCCCCAAGGTCGAATTCTTGGAGACAGTCCCCTTGGCTCAGTCAGTCCACAGGGGTCTATGCTTCTTCCTCTGTCCAAGACTTCAGCCGCCCACCCGCTCAGCTGGTGTCCACGTCCAACCGTGCCTACATGCGAAACCCGTCCTCCAGCGTACCCCCGCCTGCAGCGGGGCCCGTGAAGACCAGCCCCGCACCGTCGCCCACTCCACGCAGCCATTTCCCTTCAACTTCCCCATCCCAGCCACGCAACAGGTGAGGCCCTTTGGGTTTCTCCTTTTCTTAATTTCAGGGGTATTTTTTCATTAAAATTCCCTCCAAATCTTGTCCAAGCTTCCCAAAGAAAGCCATGCCTTTTTGAATGTATCAAGTTCAGTGTTCTTTTGTCAGATCAGTTCAAAGGGCTTTCTTCATAGCTTTCTAAGAGCATTCATGGATGTCTCCCGAAGCCCTTGGTGACTTCTCAAATACCAGCATCATTGCCGCTGTCTCATTGGCCAGTGCTGTGGTCAGTGACTTGGGTACAGATGTACCTGGATCATTCTCAATATGCAATCATACAGATACACAGTAGCCTAAGAATGCATTTGAAATTTATGAGCAAAAGCAATCGTGTGAAAGGGTTGACTGCTTTAATGAGACAATACAAACTCATTTTATAGAAACTGAGTGTAAAAGGAAAGCATTGTAACCAAGCTCCTTGTCTATGGAACTTTTAAGCAGTTAGATACTGTTTTTTTGTTTTGTTTTTGGTTGTCTATGGAACTTTTAAGCAGTTAGATACTGTTTTTTTGTTTTTGTTTTTTTTTTTGGTTCTTGATTTTCAAAAGTATTGCCTGCCTCTTACTGGTTTGCCGACATTTTGTTCAGATGACAGCAACTGATTCTGTGGATCATATGCCATGGGAACTGTGGAGGAGTTATAACCATAGGTCTTGAATAAAAACTTGCCTTTTGCTATGGAGGAAAGCTCAGATAGCAGCAGGCATTGGGTGTTTAGATCTGAGTAGCTTCTCCACTGATCAATGAGGCTTCATGAAGCCGCACACAGCAGTGTTTCTAGTGTTACCCAAAGGTAGTGCTACTAGCATATACTGCTTCTCATGCAAATGAAATACTGAAAAGTAGAAACACAATGATTGATATTGGGATTTGTTTTACCCATTAAATACAGGGTTTTTCTTAAGAGAATATATTTTAGATCCATCTAAAAATGTTGCTTGTACCAGGATCTATAAAATGTGTCAGGGAGTTTGAGTTGAGAGAAGGTGGGGTGAGAATTTATGGTCAATTATAAAGGAAGATGAAGGCCATGTGTGGGGGAGACAGTACCCATTTCCTGAGAGCCCCCCCTGGGAGAACACACAGGAGACAGGCCAGGGCTTTTCTGCCTGAAAAGGCCTCTGTCTGGGAGGTGGTGCTCTGACATGAGGCACTCCACAGCTGTGCACTTTTCAATGCCACTGAAGTGCTAGGCTAGTACTGTGGCATCCAGAGGTAAGAAGTGGCCTACCCCTTCCCACCTTGGAGAAAAGGTGAGACTTGTATCCAAAGGGAGGTAGAAACTCTCCTTACTTATCTAAATGGTAGCTGACAGGCATTTTCCGTTTCATTCTCCCCAGAGGCAGTCCTCAAGCCAGAGGCACAGTAAGGAAAGCAGCTACTTCTGTTTAAATGAAATATTGGGCGAATGAGAAAGAGGATGGGAAACTAAGGTTGGGAGGGTAGCTTACAAGGCCTTTCGGAAGAAGTGGTGGGGCTGCTCTTTTGGTGAGAGATGACATGATTAGACTTGTGCTTTGGAAGAGGGGAGACTACTGCTGAATACAAGTTGATCTAAGGAGGATAGCGTCTCAAAATGCAGAGTGGACTAATTGCACCAAAATTGTTCATTTATTGAATAGGCATCAAGGATTTCTGAACCATCGCAGAGATCCTTCAAGGTATAATATAATCAGGGCACATTTTGATTGGCTGGTGAAACTTTTCCTCCCACAGATTAGAGACTTTCCTAAATTGTTAATGTTAACACCCGAGTATGATTGTAAAATAATAACCTTGAGCTGCACAGATGAAAGCCTCCATTCCACTCTCGTTCTGCATCTAGGTCAGTCAGTGGGAAGCGCGTGTGCTCCTACTGTCATAACATTCTGGGCAAAGGAGCTGCCATGATCATCGAGTCCCTGGGTCTTTGTTATCATTTATATTGTTTTAAGGTGAGATTAAGATAAACAGCCGCTGCTGCCCTGCAAAGCTTTGCTTGGAGAGCGAGCGCATGGCTGCTTTGCGCGCTGGGGGTTGACGTGCCGTTAGCGAGCTAGGTGCTGCTGTATTTGTCGGTCTGTGCTGCATTTGGAATCTCAAATGGCTTGCTACTACTTAGTTCTCAAATCCTGAACCTGGCTTCAAAAGTTGTAGAAATGCTCTGCACTTCCCATCTCCAATCTGTTAAGATTCCATTAGTAAAATTTACAGTGCATACATGCTGTCTCTGTCATGCGGTCCTAGGCATATTTGAAATGTAATTTAATAATGTCATTAACAGCATGGGGATGGGACGTGCAATTATAAAAGGATCTAAAAGCTTAGCTTTGACTAAGGAAAAGCATGGGAAATATTTTTACAGTTGCACAGCTGCTTGCACTTGATGGTTGCTTACACCTGAGAAAGAACTAAGGCTGTAATGACTTTATTTTGCGGTAACTGTCTTTAGAGACACATCTATTTGATTCTTGAACTTGTGTTGGGCCATAGAGTGATTCCGGTTGTTGATCCCAGAGTCCCACGGACCACAGCTTGTTTAAGCTTGTATATTGCTGGCGTGGGCTGTTTCTAGGGAAAGCAGAATGAGTCACAATGATTAGTGTTGGAGCACTTGGAACCAAAATGCCCAGCCTTGAGGTGCCAACACTTGCCAGGCTGGTGCAGTGGGAGCCCTGGGCGCGTCCCACCCCAGAGCGGAGTGCCAGACCCCCAGCATCCATTCACTCCCACGGTTCTTTCATGTGGTGCTTTATCCTCTCTCATTCCCCAGTGAGAAGAGAAGACTCGCTTTCTTTAAGCCAGTCAATGAATTGTTTTTGCTCTTTCGGTATATTTAGAATGATCATCTTGGCTTTTAAAATTGGCTCTATGAATTCTTTAATGACTCATCCAGCAGGCTTGATTTTAATCTACTAATTATCTTTTGGCTTTTTTTTTTTTCCTGAAATATATCTAAGAGCTTATTAGCTGCATTTTGCTCAGTTGTTTTTTCCAGGAGCGCCCCAACCTTTCTTGAGCTCATCGCATGTGCATTTTTTTTTTTTTTTGTTCTCAGTGTGTTGCCTGTGAGTGTGACCTCGGAGGCTCTTCCTCAGGAGCCGAAGTCAGAATCCGAAACAACCAACTCTACTGCAACAACTGCTATCTCCGATTCAAATGTAAGAGAGCAAATCAGGGAGAAAATTTCTAATCTTTTAAGGAAACCGCGCGTTCCCATGCATTTCCCTGAACCTGTGCCCATCTCCCCCTCGAGCTCCCTGCCTTAGAACTCCAGGTCTCAGGAACCCTAGTGTGGCCCACCCATTCCAAGAGGGTACGGTGGGTGGGTCAGGGCTCGGGAGTGCAGCCACACAGGGTGGGTGTGGGGCTGAGGAACTGGAGAGGGGCGTGTGCCCGAGTCAGGACGATGTCCTGTGGGGTCTGCTCCGTCTGGAGAAACTGCCAATGACCTGAGGATCCGAACAAACCGAAACACAGTTAACATGAATTTTTGGTGTAGACTGTCATCAAGTGTTCTCTCATCATTAGCCATTAGCTGATTTCTATTATTCAACAAGGGGCTCTGATTATGTGATTTAGAATATGATCAGTTTTAAAAACTGTGGTTTGAAAGGTCATAGAGAATAGTCAGTTTATGCTTTGTTATTACGTAATCAGATATCAGCATAAACATTTTTAAAAGGAGAGCATGAAGTCTGATTATATGGCATTTCACTGTTATTTTCGGAAAAGTTGAGTTTTTCAACAACGTCACATGCTATTTTGCGTCTAATCATGTTTTTGTTTCTAAGTGTGCTATGAAACCGCGGGTAGCACGATTAGATTGCGTATTGCTTATAGCTCCACGAAGACAGCCATTACTGCCGTGTATATTTTGAACCTTGATGCTGGTAACATGTGTTTCTTCCCAATGTGAAAGGGTGTTACAAGTGGTATCAGCAAATCCCTTTGCTTTTGAACTCAGAGGTATTTATATGGCCCTTTATGTGAAGAGTGCTTTGGAAATGGTTTCAGCCCAGTCAACTCTCTTTTATCTGTCAGCGGGGTCTGAGTCTTCTTACCCCAGCAGCCCAGTCCTTCTCTGGATGCTGCTTGGAGAATGTCAAGGCTGGGTGTGCAATGGCGGGGAGTGTGTATATGTGTGTGTGCTTTTCTCTCTTCAATCAAATTTCAAAGCCAAATAGAATTTATATTTGGGGGACTCACCATGGAAAAAGTGCCCATGCCTTTTCTCTTCTCCAACACAAATAAAAGAGAGTTGAGTGTAACTTACTTCTATACCAGCAGTTCCAAGACCTCTAGTATCCAGAGGCTGGGGTTTGCCTCGCTTTATCCTCAGTGAGTGACAAGGTGACTTTCTACCTCGAGAGGCCATTCTCTGAGTGATTACTGCTATGCATCCCAAACGGCAATATTCCAGAGTTTCTGAATCTAAGCGCTGTTCTTTCTTCTCTCCCTGCCTGATCAGCTGGACGGCCAACCGCCATGTGATGTAAGCCTCCATACGAAAGCACTGTTGCAGATAGAAGAAGAGTTGGTTGCTGCTGATGTAGATCTATAAATATATGTTGTATGTCTTTCTCTCTCTCTCTCTCTCTTTTTTTTTAAAGAATAACACTTTTTTTTTTGGCCTCTGTAGATTACATCAGAGCAGTACAGACTTGGTAGAACCTGTATTTTTGTTGTTGTTTATTTATAAGGAGGTAATTATGTGTGGGGAAAAGTGCAGTATTTACTTTCTGAGTTCAGCATCCTAACAGCACAAGGGTAAAAAGAACTTCAAAATATTTTTTGAGGCTGATAATGATCAGTGGTGTTTTGAAGAGGGTTATTTTATTGTTTTTTTTTAAGGTTCTAAAACATTATTTGAAATAGTTAATATAAATATATAATTGCATTTGCTGTTTATTGTAATGTATGCTAAATTAATACAGAACCATATGGAAAATGTCACTAAAATGCACCCCCAAATTTGCTTTCTGTATCCTTCTTTTCAGCTATATATTATGATTTGGAAACAATTAGCTTATATGAAATGCTATTTGCTTGATGAGGGGAGCTCTGTTTTCTTTAGAATTGTCACTAGCCAGTTTTCAATAGAAAGCTGCTGCTTTTCATTAATGAAAAATCACTATAGTTTGTATACCAAAAATTTTCTCCAGGAAGTAGTGAGCCTTTCTGTCCAACTGTATTTGTAAATAAAATTGCTGATGCATTTAAGGAGTGGTTCTTTTTTTATTTTTTTTTTCTTGTGTGTTTTTGTGTGTGTCTACCTTCCAAGTACTTTAGTCATAATTCAGTATGTGACTTTTTGTGATATTATGTTTTATTTACCATCTTCACTGAGGTATAAATTGACATCATAAATTGCATATATAAACTGTACAATATGACAAGTTTGGGCATAAATGTATACCTCTGAAACTATCACCACACTCTTGATATTGTTTTTATAGAAAAATTTTAACAAGGAACTTTATTTTTGATGGGAAGCTGTTTTTGAATGCAGTACATTTTTATGGTAAGAGGTGAAGTGAATGGTGAATTGTTGGATCATTTGCATAAAATCTTTATTCTTTTGCTTCCTCAGTGATAAAAATGAGCCCAGCTGGCATGGCTCAGTGGTTGAGCATTAACCTATGAGCCAGGATGTCAGGGTTCGGTTGCGGGCTTGATCCCCTGTAGAGGGTGTGCAGGAGGCGGTCAATCAATGATTCTCTCTCCTCATTGATGTTCTCTCTCTCTCTCTCTCTCTCTCTCTCTCAAAAAATATATAACAATAAGTTTAGAAAATGTGTACAGTAAAAATACTGATATTTCTAATGTTTTGCAATCTGGAGTGGGAATTAAAGAATAAAACACTGAAGCATGCTTTGAGAAAAATATAAACTTGCTTGATTCTATTATAATAATGAGAGTGGAGTGGATGGATAATTTCAGGATATGAGAACTGTATTGGAATAGGTTAGAACTATAGTAGATGATAGGAGATCATGACTCGAAACTATGATGGGACCTGACCAGAAGTGAAAGAGTAACTCTGGAACTTCAAGCTTAGGTAGTTTAGAGACTGATATTGTTGAGGAAGGAGATGAGCTCTGTTCTGGATATATTGCAGGGTTGACATATAAGAAGTGCCTAACAGTAACTGGAGAGAAGGGTTTGAGTATACGCAGGAGAAAGAAATGGCATCTATTAATGTTTGTTTGCATGCTTGAATTGACTTCAATGAAAAGTTTATTTCCCCACCTGAGTGGAAGTCAAGAAGGTCGGTTCATCTAGCAGTTCAATAATGTGATTGAAGTCCTGTGTCATTTATCTCCGGCAGTTTGGCCACCTACAACTGTGGCCTGATCCAAAGGCTAGTCACTACCATGGTTGCAGGACTGATTTCTCATGGCTCTTACATGTGTAAGGGAACTTTCCCAGAAGCCATTAGCAAAACCCTTCTTTTCACATTCGCCAAACTTGGGTGATTTTCCCATTTTTGAACCAAGGGTAATCTCATCTCTTGGCAATCAAAACCTCCTTAATGGAAATAAACTTCCAAATCGTGCTATTGATAATTAATGAGAGTCTGATGGAGTCAGGGTTGGAGAGTCAACCACAATGCTTATCATAGTTAGCCTTAATGAATTCTCAAACATTATTTGCACTCTTCTAGACCCAGTGCTTTCATAATTAAAACCTTGTAAGTTAGTGGGTTTCTTAAGGAACAATATAGAAAGAACAGGAGAGTGGACAAGAATATTTCCTTTGATTGTACCCAACAGGGATTACCCGAGGGAAAAAAGTTGGTAGAAAATTTGATCTGTTCAAGCAAATGTAAAAGAAAGCTCAGCTCATGGTGGTGCTGAAGTAAAAAAACAATCAAACCAGGAACCTGAATAATTTGAGAATACCCGTGAACACTTTGTGAATGTAAAGTATGAAAAATGGTCTCATGCTTTTTCAAGTTTCTTACATAAAAATTCATGAAAGGAAATCATGTGTTAAATACTCACCTTTTAATAATTAAATTTTAAACTTAAGATGATGGAGTTTATACACTGTAATCCCAAGACACCTTTGAACACAGTTAAGGGGACTCAGTAGCTCTCTTGATGATTTCTGCTTGACAACTGTTAATGCTTACACTATAAATATCCTCAAAGCGCTTCATGGATAGTATTTTTCAATTTTATAACACAATCCTGTGGGAGCTTATCAAAACTCCTTGCTCTTAAAATTAGACTGGAGGAAAAACAGCATTTCCATAGGGGAGGACTATTAGAATCTGAAAAATGGTGCAGCCGTGTTTTCTAGGTTACATTCAGGCTTGTAACTTACATATTTTCGCATGCTATTTGCTTTACCTTTCTTTTTTTTGTAGCTAAATGCTTTATAAGATCTATAATGAATTCACTGTCACAGACCTGCATGTGAGGCATTGATCTGTCTGTTGCCATTTCAGGCTAAATAGAGAGTTCCTCTTAACATTTGTCAGAAGCTCATTCTCCCTTTCAACCTGTTCTCTGGCAGCAGGAAAACATCCATCAAAGATGCCAGAACGCCCGGGTCAAGCTTGCAAGTCATGTGCTCTTAAATTTATTTCTACCTCCAAATCAGACTAGCTTCCCAGAATCCCTTAGTCATACATTCAAGTTCAGAAGTATAATGAGGTCTGGGATGGCTATGATGCCTCCATTCTGAATATGTTTAAATTCTAGTCTCAGGAATATAGCTCATAGCTGAACAGGAGGCCAGATGAAAGTGGATGGGAGAGAGAAGGTAGGAAACAAGTGTTTACTGGGTACTGGCTGTGTGCCAGGTTTATTAGGGGCACAGTAACAAGCGTGGTATTTTCATACTATAAAGTTCAACTATGAAAATTAACATTTTTATAGTTGAAATAAAATACAAACAGTCAAATCAGGATTTTCCCTAGCCCCTCTTCTTCCTTGAAGTTGGCATCTGACCTTTGGCCTTTGTTTACACAGTGAAGGAGTCAAGGCCCTGTCGGGGGTCTGGGTAGCTCTTTGTTCTCCCTAGTTTCTCCCTGGCTCACTGGAGCATCTATTGTCTGGTCTTGGTACTTGTTAGCCCTTTGTGATGGCATCCACTGGGGTGTCCACCTTCCAGCTGGTCAGGGCCTGGAAGATCTATGCAGCACAGCCTGTCCAGTGTTCAGCTTCGGCATCCATCCCTACATCTCAAACCTGGCACTCCTTCGGGTCATCGGGCCTGCTCTGTCAGCCAAAGGTCATCTCTGTCCCTGGGTCCTTTATCACATCTGCAAAGCCCCTTTTTCAGATAAGGTAACATATAGTTCCAGGGATTAGGATGGGGACATTATTCAGCACAAGAGAGTTACTTTGATATTTACCTTCTAAAAACGGAAATTAATAGCCTGCCCTCATGCCTCTGTTTACTTGGAGAAAGTACACTAGGCCCTGGCCAGTTTGGCTTACTGGTTAGAGCATAGGCCTATGGACTAAAGGGTCTCGAATTTGATTCTGGACAAGGGCACATATCTCGATGGCAACCTCCGTTCCCAGCCCCAGTCGACCAATCCATGTGTTTCTCTCAGATCAATGTTTCTCTCTCTCTGTTTCTCCCCCTCCCTTCCAATCTCTCTTAAAAAAAAATCAATGGAAAAAGTATCATCCAGAGAGGAATAAATAAATAAATAAATAAATAAATAAATAAAGTACACTAGGATACTTCTGATTAAAAATATTAAAGTACTTAAATTGCATTTATAAATGTGTGCTCATCACTAAAAGAATGGCATTTATAGTATCAAGCCTACTTGATTTTCAATGAGATAGTGGTTGCTCCAATGACCTCTACATTGCCTGTTTTGCCAGTGTGTAACTCATTTCTTAAATGAGGTGCATGTAGGAAGAACATATTAGAACATTTATTTATGTTTTTATGTTTGAAAAAAAAATTAAGCTATTCTAATATATCATGGAAGGGTTGACACAAACATGCCTGTCTTTATGGTTAAGTTAGTCACATGTAGCACAGAGACTGCAAGACCTCCTGAGGGCTGAAGAGTTTCACACTATGGAGGGTGATAGTGGTGCCCTCGTTTTGCATGTTTTGATGTAATACAATTTACTTGTGGCATCACCTTGCATGTCAGCTTTTAAAAAACTAAGTGTGAAGAGCATGAAGAACCTCTACAATTTTTTTCAGTGATGTTTAAAGTCAAGTAAGGATTAACCCATCATTCACATACTTCATACAATGGTAAATATTTATAAGCGTCTTTTGTAGATGGTAGAAAGGCAAATACCCTTGTTCTTCCTATTGAGGTTGAAAATGGTTGAAATAATGTACTGAAAATAACATGGAAACTGACACAAGTGTATTCCTTTATCAGCAAATATTCCTGGAAGCGGCACAAGAAACATCACTGAAGTTAAGAAGAAACAAGTATGAGAACAAGTAATACAGTGTGGGAGGTTGGCTACTTAGTCTAGGTGTCTCCATCACATCTCAGCTTATAGTATTTGTTAAGTGGTTTTAGTGATGAAATACAAGAACTATTTCTTTATGAACCAT